ACTCAGTCACAAGTGGTCTTAACTACAGCCCTATCGCGCACACACACTCATACAAACACACACACACACTCATATCAACACACATACACGTACACACACGCACACTCATACCAACACACAAACGCACGCACACACTCATACCAACACACAAACGCACACACACTCATACCAACACACAAACGCACACACACTCATACCAACACACAAACGCACACTCATACCAACACACAAACGCACACACACACACTCATACCAACACACAAACGCACACACACACACTCATACCAACACACAAACGCACACACACGCACTCATACCAACACACAAACGCACACACCCTCATACCAACACACAAACGCACACACACACACACTCATACCAACACACAAACGCACACACACACTCATACCAACACACAAACGCACACACACACACACTCCCCCTTTGAAGAGCCGAGCGGGCACACCGAGAGGGTTTGGGGGTGGGTGACCAGCCCCACGCCCGGCCGCCTTTGTCTCCCCAGTGGCGATGTTTTTACACACCGCACCAGGTATTCATTTGAGGCTGAGTCGACTTAGGGGAGGCCCAGGACCGGTTCGGATAATCGTCACCGGTGTCGGCCGTGAGCGCGAATCGAACTCGGGTCACCGGGTCGCAGCACAGCAGTGCGCTAACCACTGCGCCACCGCTCCCCGCGTAGCCGCATGTTCGGCTGTGTGTGCGCGCGCGTCTCCGCCTGTGCGCGTGTCTGTACAGGCACACGTACAGGCGGCGGCGGCGGCCACAAAGACACAGCACGCACGTGTACACCACGCGCCGCTTCCAGCACTCGTCTTTGTTGGGCGAGATGCGCTCCCTCCCTCCCCCTCCCTCCCCCCACCTCGCCTCCCGCCCAGGTGCTCAGGACCGGGAATGGGGGAGGAGGAGGGACGGAGGGGACACAGCGAGGGAGGGGGGTGGGGGGGATGCGGGGGGTGGGGGGATGCGGGGGGGTGGGGGGGATGCGGGGGGGGAGGCCAATAAAAGCGAGCAGATGGGGCGAGACCCGCGGAATGAAACCCCCCCCTCGCCCCGCCCCCGACGCCCTCCCTCCCCCCCGCTCGCCCCGCCTCGATCGTCCCCTCCCCCGGGCCGAGAAGTTTCCATGACGACGGTGTCCTAGCAACGCGGGCCAGCGGGCTGTGAACAAGATGCTAATGGCGGGGCGGGGCGAGTGAGTCTGGGGCGGTGGGGGTGGGGGGTACACAAGAGGGGGTGGGGGGGAGGAGCCGGGGGTGGGGGGGAGGAGCCGGGGGTGGGGGGGAGGAGCCGGGTGCACGAACCACCCCGCGCCCCCAAATTTCCCCTCCACCCCACCCCGACCCCGACCCCTCCCACCGCTTTCCTCCCTCGTCACCCCCCCCCACCACCACCACCACAACCAACCTGGTCCCCCCCCCACGACTCCTCCATCTCCAAGTCGTTAGTAACACGCGCCGCGCGTGCACACACCCCCCCAGCCCCCCCCCCCCTTATCTACCCCCCCCCAGCCCCCAGCCCCCCTCCCTCACTACCCCCCCCCCCCCAAGAGACTGCACGCGCATGCGCGCGAGAGTGAGTGATGGAGGGCGGGGAGGGCTGGTGGGGAATTAATGGTGACCATGGAGACGACGAGGAGGAGGAGGATGATGAGGCGGTGGTGGTGGTGGTGGTGGGGGCAGACGGATCGCGTCAAAGTCAAATACTCGATAAGAGATCGACCACGCGGCCAGTTGGAGCCCCGCAGCAACATCCCCCCCCCCTCCTCCTCCTCCTCCAGGGAGTCCTGGGACTCGGCGTGCCGGGCAGTGGCGGTTCCGCACCTCCCGTTGCCTTGCGACAGGACTCCGAAGCTCTTCCTGGTGTATTCCCAGGCAGGCGCGTTTTGGAAATTGGTTCGAACCGAGCCGTCTGCTGCGTCCGTGTGATCAACCGCGCTTGGAAGGCAAAGGGCGGGGAGAGGGCGGTGGGGTTGGCGGACCACGGGAGGATGTTTGCGTGAAACCACGAAACCCCCCCCCCCCCCCGCTGGTTCTGCTCCGATGTTGTGGCCACGAGATGTCAGTACAGCGAGCCGGGTTAGCGAACCCCCCCCCCCCCCCCCGTCTGTGCGAAACTTTAATAAAAGGGCGCTCCTTCCCCGCATGTATGAGCGACGGGTTTTCTCTCTCTCTCTCTCTCCAGGTACTTCCGATTTCCTCCCACGTGACGCAAAAGCACTCGTCAACATTTCCCAATATAAGAGGGCAGTAGCTATGTTATTACCGTTATTTACTTTGCTTGTTCATCCAGGAAAGCCTCGCCGAAATCTCAAGACTTCGTTTTCCCTGCGAAGTTTGTCAGAGTGGCGGGCGACGTGGCGGGCGACGTTCTTCCTCTGTGTGCAATCCAAATCCAGGAATTTGCAGGAACATTTTCAGCACCTGTGATGTCGTTTGCGCCACAATACCAGTTCACATTTCACGGGGTGGTTTTATGTCTTCTTCATTTTACCTAAGGGAGGAAACCGGCAGAACCCGGGAAAAAAAAACCCATCCAGAACAGGGGGAGAACGTACAGAAGCCATGGCGAAGAACGGCACCCGAGTTGGGAGTCGAACCCATGCGCGAGTTGAGGAGTGGAACACACGCCCGAGATGGGAGTCGAACCCATACACGAGTTGAGAGTGGAACACACGCCCGAGATGGGAGTCGAACCCATACGCGAGTTGAGAGTGGAACACACGCCCGAGATGGGAGTCGAACCCATACACGAGTTGAGAGTGGAACCAACGCACGAGTTGAGAGTGGGAACACACGCCCGAGATGGGAGTCGAACCCATGCCCCCACCCCCACCCCCCTCATACTGCGAGCCTTTCTTAGCAAATCAACATAGTTGCACTGGCAAGTCCCCGTGAACTCACCGGCAGAGCGGACTCGGAGAGCGATACATCGCACCGGTTCACTGAAAAATCATCGCGGAGGAATTGGAGAATCGGGGCAAACAAGAAAAATGAACTGACAAGCGAGACGACTAGGTTGGACTCTCGGCTGCAGCGCAATTTGCGGCGAGAGTCCAGAATCACAACCCACAACTGGACAATTAATTGGTAATTACTCCAGGGAGAGAGAGGGGGGGGGTCACCTCTAATGGAAATGAAGTCAATAATGATGAAACACAACATTAATCTGCCCGCCGACTTAACGCTGCCATGCCACAGGACTCAAAGGAGGCTCTGTTGTAACGGTCAAAGTTGGTTAACTCCACGCCAATCTCGCTTTTCCGGGCACGCAGTTTAACCAGCTAAAAAAAAATGTTACACCTGGGACACGTCACGGCTATGAAAGAGACTTTGGCCGATAAATGTCAAGAATAAGGAACGGAGTTGAGCGGGCAAGTCAAGAGAGGCCGGGGGGGGGGGGCGCGTGGGGACGCATCCGGGGGGGGGGCGTCCACCGTGGAGGAGAGACAGAGCCGTGAAATTGACTCGTGCGCATGTCGCTGGGTGGGTGACCACATCGCAAGCATCGCGAGAGATGGCGGCAGCTTAGCAAAGGAAGGCCTTCATTCATCCAGCGGTGGATTGTCCAAGGCCAATAGATAAATGAATAGCGACGATGACGAATTGCATAAAAAGCTCGCTAAAAACGTCGCTCGGACGCCTGAGGTATTAGCGACCGCAGTCGCTTTGCGCCATGACCTTCCCACGGTCAGATGAGACCACATTTCTTGCATGGTTAGAAGATTCTGTACGGTTTAGAGGATTGCACGCGGACACAATGACAAACGCAAATATCTCCCCCCCCCCCATTCAGGTGTGCGGACTGCGGTGCTGTTAGCGAGCACCTATTAAGGCCAGCACAGCACACGCTGGGGCACGGTGGCCAGAACCCCGGCTCAGCCAACACGGTCTCCCACCAAAGACGATGTTTTTTTCCCCGCCCCACACCAGGTATTAATTTAAGGTTAAGTCGACCTCGGCGTGGCGAACGGTAAAGTTCAGACATCGCACACCGCTGCTGATGTTGTGGTGCAGTCAGGAATGACATAATCCTAGCGCAAAAGGTGAACCACTGCACCACCACCACCACCAGGCACCCTCATACAGAAGTGGATTGACAAAAGAACTGCACACATACCGAGATTAAACCCTCACGTAAGTAGACGTACTTGGAGATCGCTCCATCTCTTGGATCAAGATCACCCTCATTATTCACCACGATCCCCCATGGACTGACCCCTGCCTACCTCTCCACCTCTCATCTCACTCTACTCCCTTCCACGCACTCTCCTCCCTCTCCCCTCCACGCTCATCTCACTCTCCTCCCTCTCCCCTCCACGCTCAACTCACTCTACTCCCTTCCACGCAATCCCTTCCCTCTCCCCTCCACGTTCACCTCACTCTACTCCTTCTGCACACCATTCCACCTCTCTTCCACTCTCATCTCACTCTTACTCCTCTCCACACAGTCTCCTCTCTCTTATCATCTTACTCCACTGCCCTATTTGTGCTCTCCACTCAGGCAAACGAGAGGCCTCGGGTCACTGCTTCTGTGCTGCTGCTGCTGCTATGGGGAATGCTCACACACCGCACTGGAAAGCCGCACTGCTTAGACTGCTTAACGCCGGGCGAACTAAAGGACTTCCCCTCCTCCAATTAATGTTCCGGGTTGTTCCGCTTGTTGTTGGCGCGATGCCCGACGTTTCGCAACCACGCGCTGGGTGGGTGGGGAGCTTCTTCGGGGAAACTCAATCGAAAAGCTCAGGAAATGAATCGGTTCCTGTAGAAGCTCCTGGGCATGTGGGGCAAAACGTCGGACTTCGCAAAGGGGGCAACAATGCGAACCGCACATCAAAAGGGGGGAGCCGCTATCCTCCCCCGCTGTGAGCGACTCCCCCCCCCCCCCCGTCTCAGTGCCACACCCTCCCTCAGGACGCACGCGTGCCCCCCTCTCCAACACCCCCCCCCCCCCCACCGTATAGGAGTGTCGCGTGAACACACCTTCTATAAATCCGTACAGCGAGTGGTGGTGGCGCGCACCGGTGAGAGTGGGGTTCATCAACCCATCCGTGCGGACTCCCGCCCCCCCCCCCCACGTCCCCTTGAATGCGCGATGGTTTTTTCTCCGGGTGCACAAGCAAAAAAAAACCGCATTTAAAAAAAAAATAAAGAATTAGCCAAACATTCCAATGCAGCTAGGTGGCTCCTGAAAAATGAGAGACTTGAGATTCGGCGAGGATGGCCTGGGTAAAACCAACGACAAGACATTTACATGACGATCGTTATAATTTATAGTGGGGAGAGCGGTGGTGCTAGCGGTTAGCGCAACCGCGCTACGAAGCCAGCGGCGAAAAGCAACGGCTAGCGTCAGCGGCGAGTTGATTTACGAACCCCACCGACACTGACCAGTGTGGTGAAGTATGACCGAACAACAACTCGGCGTGGGGTTGGCCTTCATCCAGCAGTGGATCGACGAAAGAGCGCCGTGGCGCATTGTAATTGCTGATGCCCGATCCGTCAATCCAGTCCGGGTTTCACTGGGGACCCTCGGGCAGTGTGGGTAGGGTGGGAGTTGGGGTGTGACGGGAAGGGTGGGTGGGTGCCGGTGGGAGGTCAGGAGGGAGCAGGGGGTGGCGAAGGGAGGGAGGGGGCGAAGGGGGAGAGGAGGGGGGGGGGGCGCACCCAACCACAACTCTCCTCCTCCTCCTCCTGCTGCTCCTCACCGATAGAAATCCGCGGAAGCCCCCCCCACCCCACCAGCTCTCATCTAACGAGTCACGTGCCGCGCTGTTTGTCACGAATGCAATATATGACTGGCACGTGATATCTGCACGTGAGTCCCTGGCTAGCACGTGTGTGTGTGTAGGTGCTAGTGTGCGCGTATTTAAAAGGTGCTCGCTAACAGCACTTGCCCCAACAGTCTGTTAAGGCTACACGGGGATCTTTGTTTGCGTGTGGTCAGCGCGCCGAGCTACCAACCCGGCGACCCGAGTTCGATTCTCGCTCACGGCCAACAGCGGTGACAATTATCTGAACCAGTTCTAGGCCTCCCCCTAGGTCGATTCGGCCTCAAATGACAAATGTGGCGTGTAAACATCGCCCACTAGGGAGACAAAGGCGGCCGGGCGTGGTTACTGGCCACCCACCCACCCCCCTCCACGTGTGCCGTAGCGGGCTTTCATAGTCACTCGCTGACAGCACTTGCCCCTACAGTCTGTTGAGCCTATACGGGGTCTCTTTGTCTTTGTGTCGTCATATCTCTCGAGTTCGATTCCCGGTCGTGACTCACGCTCACAATAGCCCTTAGCAAGCAAGTGGTGTGTGTGTGTAGGTTGTGTGTGTGTATGTAGGTTGTGTGTGTGTATGTAGGTTGTGTGTGTGTGTGGGTGTGCGTGGGTGTGTAACGAGTGCGGTTCGCAGCGCCCAATGTTGCGGTGACCTGGGACTGATTCAGAACCTGTTCCTCGTGGTCCAGTGCCGGCCTTCTTAGGCGCTCGCGAACCGCACTTGCCCGAACAGCAGAGGAAAGGCTATCCGAGTGATCTTTGTCGTTGTGCTCGTTAACAGCCCTTGCGTCAATAGTCTATGCAGAATACACGTGGGATCTCTGTACACAACTGTACGTGTGTGTGTGACTGGTGGCGTCTGTAGCCGTAAAACTGTGTCTGTACTTGTGTCTACGCGTGCATGTAGCCGTGTACACATGTATACGTAACTGTACGCGCGCATGTACCGTAATCGTTGTGCGCGCGTATGGTGTGAGCTTCTTTCGCACCGTACGTGGGCCAATCGTGCTAATCGGAGGTGTAAACGTGTGTAGCAATAGAGCTTCATTTGTGTATCCATTTTCCCTTTACAACTCATAATAAAAGGTTTTTGGGTTAGATCGTGTAATTTGAAATGTTGTGGATTTACTCTCCAACACACCGGTGGGCTGAAGAAGTAAACATTGGGCCTTTTGTTTACGTGACAAATCCCTTACTAATTGGCTGTGTCGGGTGGTGGAGGGTTACGACACATTTATACTTACCGCAATCTAACGCCAGAAAAAAACATTCATTATGAATAGAATATTGGTCGCGAAAGCCTACGTGTTAAAAAAAATTCCCCCTTTTCAACTTTCATCAGCCAATCAGCTCAAGGCCCGGGTCGGGTGGGTTTGGGGTTTGGGGCGTGCGCTGAACATATGCGGGCAGAGTGAAACGAATTAGCACGCGTTGACGCTGCTGCGGTGATCGCGACTACACGGGGTACGATGTTTAAATAATTCAACGGCTTTGTCATGCGACCCTATGTGGCTTTAACTCCCCCGTGCCCGTTTAGGTGCTATGAAGGGCCCATCGCCCGAAACGTCAACCGCCATATATTTTTATTTTAAGGCCACAGTGTCATGGAGATTATTAATATATAAAATGTGAGCATAGGGGCACGTTACATTATGGATATTGGGAAGAACAACGAATCTCAATGTTCGCCAGACACGGTGCTCGGATTAACCATTACATGCCACCAACCATCATTATCTCTGGACAAGAGTGACCCTTGCACATTTTAAAAGCGTCAAGTATAATTCACTTCTAAATTTTCGATATGGCTATATTAAAAAAAAAGGGTATTTTTGTCTGTGTTTTTTTTTTTAACAGTCTATATGAACTTTTAATGACTTAATGTGCAAGTAACAGCTCGCCCCTTTGGCAAAAAAATCAATGATCTCTCCCCTCGAGTCGGGATTGGGGGGGGGGGCTTTAAAATTATCGTGGGTGCGTGTCAACGAGACAGGAACCGAGAGTGTGATTGGCAGCACCGCACTCTCTCTCTCTCTTTCTGATGACATCTCCAATGTAAAATAAAATACTTTGCCGAGTAATTCTAGACTCTATGGTACGGGGGTACCCTCTCTGTTTTCGTTCCGGGTAGCATTTGTGAAAACCCGAACGTAAAGTTACTAATGGCACCAGATTATTGAATCGTATTTTCCCCCATAAGAACGCATCATATAATCGAAGATACCTTCGCCTAAGGAAATATTTTCGAGCCCAAAACCTACTCAAAACCCTTCACGCGTTAACATTATTTTCGAATACAAAAAAACTGGACGGATAATTTGAAAACGGCGTAGAGTGTCATTAACTAACCAAATATCCGTGGCGCGAGGTGGTACTGCGGCGAGGTCTTGAGGGGGGTCGTGATGGAGCGTGGTGAGGGTGAGGTGAGGGTGAGGTGAGGGTGCAGATCGTCCAGGTTAGTTCTAAACTCGGCGGCGTGTGAACAAACACGTGGCGGGGGCCAGGAAAACGGGATGAATGAATGTCTGCTGGACATGTGTGAAACTACCGGATATCTATGAAAGAGCTTTGTAGCTCATCGGATTCCTCCAGTATACGCAAATATCCGGATTGTGAATGGGACGATATAAAATGCACGCACGGACAAACGACATGACGTGCATTTACTATAGGGATTGTATTATTTTTTTACACTCAAATTTTTTTTGTTGTTGCTAAGGTAATAACGATGACGTAAACCGAAACGTGTTAATTCATGATGAGCGCAATCGCGAACGCTCGGAAATCGAATTAAACCACGTATATCGGGGTACACCTGCACGGTAAGCAGTGCAAAATATCCATCGATTCATATGGATTACTCTAACTGCCGCGACACGGGCAACGGGTGTTAAGACTTCCCATTCCCTTCGCATGATCGGTACCGTCGAGTGTGCGGGTAACGGGTGCACGTGATCCTCCAACACCGCTAGAGGCCGCTACATTCACCACGTGTTTAAAAATAAATAAAACAATTTTTCGAATCGATTATTGTAATCGAAAGAGCGAGGCGGAATAATGGACAAACACACACACACGCACACGTACAGACGAGAAGTGCAGAACACCTACTCAAAATATATCCCATGGCAGCACGAACGGGTTCACGATCCCACTTGCTGCTGCTGCTGCTGCTACTGCCATCTCCCGGCCACCTCGTGGCAAGCAAGCCCAGCGGGAGATTTTAAACAAATCTCCACGTGATCCACCAACTCCCCCCTCCCCCGCCTAAAGGCGCTCATCGCAAGCGCTACCGCAAAGTAAAAATCACAGCTGTTGTACGTATGCATATTGAACTTTTTTCACACCGCACATAGCCAAACACGCTAATTGTAAGCGCAGGGTGGTCCGGATGTCCTGTGACCTCCCCCCCCCCCCTCCAAATGAATTGACCTCTAACGTTTTGTTCGCCCTTTGCATGTTCATTTCTCGTTTAAAGAAACCTTACTTTTAACAACAAAAACTGTTAATTTTTAGAGATTGAAATGGGAGTCACGAAACATCTGGACGCAGATGATTGGTCACAGGCGATGCGGATGACCGCGGCGCCGAGACCCCCGCAGAACTTCCGCCGACGATATTTTATAATAATTATTATTATTTACTTATTTTCTCCACGAGAGTCTTAGGACTATTTTTCGTTAAGGTCCTGCTACATTGGGCGGTTTGCTGTTGCCGAAGATGTTTTCGGCCAATTAACGATGAGCTGTGTTTATTTTGCGAGTGTACGGATGGAAACAGATGGCGATTAGGTCCACTTGCAGTCTGGATGATAACGCCACCTCCCCTCCCCTCGACTGCCCACGGCAAGGGAAGAGTTTGGACAACATCTGTGCGATCCACCAAACCTACCATCTCGTGACCTTCCACGGTTCTGGAACAAGGGGCCCACGTGAATATGCAGGCAGCCCCCCGCCCAACCACAACACTGGCCCCGGGCGAGATACCGGACGGAGCTTCCGCGGATTTCCGTGGTCTACGGGGAAGCCGCAGAGAGAGAGAGAGAGCGAGCGGGGAGCGGCTGCCGTGTAATCTGCGGCGCCTTAAAAAACGAAGGCGCCGCAGATTAAAAGCGCGACGCGTTTACACGATGGCCCTTAAACACACACACACACAGGGAGTGCAGCCGAGAAACAACCCCAGCTACCACTGCTACTCGCCACACAACCGGCCTCCCCACAGCCCCTCCCATCTATC